AAAGTTGGGATGAGTGTCATAGTCTGGATGGCCAACTTCTCTTGAAGACTCAGGAGAACTGACCCCATTGGCCTCCATTCCATCCACCTGACACTGTTGCCCACCCTGGACCCCACTTTGGCCCCACTGGTCACTCAGAGAATCTTGGCAGCCCAAGGAAAGAGCACAGGCCCCAAAGTCAGGCTCCCTCTGTCCGAGCTGCGTGGCCTTGGGCACCTCTTAATGTTTCCGCTTCTGCACCTTCCAGGGTCCTTGTGACTTAAATGTGACCATCGTGATCACCATTGTCTGGAACCTAGTGAGCACCCAGTAAAGGTCAGCAGCTGTCCAGCACCTACTGTGTGCCAAGAGGGTGGTTTCCGGTTACCACCAATGGGGAGCCATCATCACACTTGAGTGATGTGTTGGCCATAGTCTCCACCTCTGGGCCCACTGGCTGGCAGAGAGCGGGGTGCTAAGGCCCAGCTGCCCTGTAGACCTAAAGGTCCCTGCCCAGGTTCTTGTAGTTGCCATGGAGTCATTTCTGACCCGTGTGTGCACTTGACAGGGTTTTCATGGCTGTGACCATTGCAAACAGACCACCAGATCTTTCTCACACGGCAGCTCTGGATGGGTCAAACCACCAACCTTCTGGTTAGCAGACCAGCGCTTGGCTGCACTACCCACCCAAGCCCACCCTACCCAGTTCTAGTTAAGTCGACTCCCACTGCCCCAGGTGTGCAGGCGGGAGCTGCTATGGAGCTTCAATGGCTGTGTGCTTTTGGGGGTGTGCTTTTGGGGGGCACATTGCCAGGCCTTCCTTCCATGATGCTGCTGGCTGCAGCCCGCCTAACCTTTGTGCTTAACTGTCTGTCCTCACTCGCTGCCACGACATCGATTTCAATTCATAGTGACCCCCATTGGGTTTCCAAGATGGTAAATCTTTATGGCAGTGGATTGCCCCATCTTCCTTCCACGGAGCAGCTGGTGGGTTTGAACCACTGACCCTCTGGTTAGCAGCCGAATGCCTTATCCACTCCACCACCAGAGCTCCTCACTGTTTGTAATGCAGTTGTTCTTGTTAGGTGCTGTCGGGTCAGCTCTGACTCACAGTGACCAGAAGGAAACACTGCCTGGTCCTGCTCCAGCCTCACAAGCCTTGCTCGACCTGAGCCCGTTGTTGTAGCCACTGTGTCAGTCCATCTCGTTGAGCACCTTCCACTTTCCACTGACCCTCTGCTTTACCAAGCACGACTTCCTTCTCCAGGGAATGGTCCCTTCTGACCCCATGACCAAGGGAGAGACCCCTAACCCCTTGCCTGGCCTGGATTCTGCCTACTCATGAAGACAGCGTTGTGCAGAGTAGAAACGCTCCGTAGGGTTTCCAGCCACTCTGACTTTTCAGAAGATGCCAAACCTGTTTTCCAGGAGTCTCTGGGCCCGTTGGAACTGCTAGCAGAAATAACGTTAACCCTTGCACCGGCAGGAGCCCCTCCGTCCCCGGGGCTGATTGGCTTTGGTGCGAGGGAAGCCGGAAGGCCCCGGAGTAGAGGGGCAGAGGCAGCGGCGAGAGTGAGGCACTGGGGCGGGATACCCACCCGGGGTACTGAAAGTGGAGCTGGTTCAGGGGTGAGGGTGCAGAAGGGGTCCCCGGGCTGGTTTGTGGATCCAGGCCAGAGATGGTGCCGCAAGCTGGCAAAGTGGGCTGCGTTTGGAGGGCGAGACCGCTCGGTGGACAGAGCAGAAGAACTCGAGGGAGCATCACTGCAGGCCGAGGGGCAACGAGGCTGCGTCCGCCCCGTGACCCCGCAGGACCCTGAGACCAGAGCCGCGGCTGCCGCAGCCGTCGAGGCAAGACACTGCAGGCAGCACCTGGACTCGCGCTGCGGACACGCCTGACACCGGGCACTCATCACCTGCGCTGCGGGAACGGCCAGGGCCTGGGGCGGGGTCCGAGGGCTGCACCTGGTCGGCTGTGCGGCC